CTTCGACTATGATGATATCAAACCGTCTATACATATTTATCGCACCACTAGAAAGTGTTTACTTAACGCATCAACATTAACAGAAGTAAAATTAACGGATAAACAGTAGCATGTTTGGTCCATATTATAGAATGCTGCTCCTTTAGCCTAATCTTGATTTCTTTCGCCTAGGGAAAAATCGTTTACCGATGGCAGTGACATGAATGCCACATCGATTGCCGATACGGTGCACCGTCTTTGAATTAACCCACCCCAAGCTCCTCTAACACAGATTTCTTCTTTGCCCACGAACTCGAACTGTTCTTGGTTGTTCGTTATATCTGAAATATTTTTTCATTCAACCGTATAGCTAGGAAGCCCTATTAAGCTTGCTAACTTTTTGTTCAAATGTTTCTTTGAGCGTTCCTTCTGCAGATAAGTATAGAACGAATAAATACCAGACCCTGGCGTAGGGAAATAGATGTAGTCCTCTAGATGTTATGATAAGTGCTAGCATCTCTCGATAGAAGTAACTGAAGCTTAAGGAGTGCGATTTGCCGTCTGCTTCTTTATTTTTATATGCGAGGTTATGTGATGTCATATATTGCTGGGTGTCTGCCTCGCACGCGGTTGCACTCGATTATGTCATTATGATAACAAGTACCTTACGTGCGTATATGACGAACAATGGCGTCATGATTTATTAATTTTTTCTTTCATCACGACGCGAAGGTTTAACTTTGGTCGAGACGAGATACTGAAAGTAAGAAACTTACAAAAAAACTAGCTATTTATCAATGACTACAAATTACAGCCGCTATATTCGGAAATTCGGAAAATTGCATTGAACACTATATAAAGTTTAATTTATTATGTGACAATAGGCTTAAGCCTAAATGATGCATATAAAAAAAAAAGCATGACTTGTTGAAGAATGAATGGTGAGGCGCTGAACTATATATTTTGCTTTGTACCATTGTATACGTGTATTAGTCAAGAGTACGATGCGATGTACTTGTTTGATGATTTCTCCGATGATTTTGCTGTTCGTTCAATTAAAAAGGCTAAATATTAGGACTATTTTTAGTTCTAGCCTGTGTCGGTTGATTGCTACTGTTTCATTGCTAGTTTCATATTAGCCACAGGAAGATTGCAAATTAAAACCGTAGTGCAAAATCATAATGCTTGTGGTCTCTACGTAAGTACTCTATAGGAGTTCGTTACCGGGCATCGGCAATTGTATATAGTGCAGCCTTACATGAAGGTCAAGCGTAAGAAATTGTTTACAATCGACAATGTGATTCCCAGTTATTAGGATAGATACCAATCCCTTGATAAACTATAACACAGACGTCGGCGATGCTTCCGCCTTGTGATTCTATGCCCTCCTTGTTCTATTTCCCTTTGCTTCTAAAACAATTTTCTTACGGAAATAACATTATTGTTATTGAAGACCCTTGCGCAGCGAGCGTGACATTACACTAAGACAGTAGTTAAATATCTAACACTGCTGCTACGCCACGGAAAGGTTTCATAGCAAAGGCATCTAGCCTCAGGATGTGCCTGACCCGACAAGTGCAGAGGTTGCAAAAGCAGGCAAAAAATAAGCCCAAACAGGTTCAGAGCGCGCGAGTCAGGGCCCCGACTCCTTTAGGGCTGGTTATGGCCTGAAGTCTGCGTCACGATATATCGCTTCGATTGATCTTAAGAGTAAGCTGTGTTGTTCCTGTGGCATCCATTTGTCGCGCGATGACCATTTTGGTCGACTATCTTGCTATAGGTTTATCATACCAATACATCAGTAAATATAGCACGCCATCCCTACTATGGAAGGAAATTAAGGATATGCGGTTGTAATGTGGTTTGTTAGAGAACTTAAAATGCGTTTGGAAAGAAATATTCTCCTAACGGTGGGGTAAAATATTAGTTGTCAGGTTCAACTAGACTCTAAAGGTGCTGCTTCTGGAATATTGCTCTTGGACCGCTTTTGGATAGGGTTCAGTAAACATAGCATAAACGATACGGTGTTCGTATTGTCACAAGGGCGATACGTGAGTGACTGAAAGCAGTTTGGCATTTGCGATTTATTATAAATAAATAAACTTACCTCTGGTTATCCTCTAGAACTTAAGTTTTCTTGAAAACAGGTAGAGGCTTTCTGGTTTACCGGTAGAGCGGTGTGACCCAGCGGGTAATCTTTGTCCTATTGTAAACATCATAACACGTCATGTTTCGTTGCCTGAAGAACAGCTATCGTTCGTGTTGTGGTAGAAAATCAGACAATAGGCCAATGTAATAGCTAGCCGCAGCCAATAATTTTCATTTATCCTTGAAACATTCGTAATCTGAGTTTACGTAAGAAAAGCGAAATTTATAGTACCCATTTCAAATAATCTAACTCCTGTAGTCTATGTGATTCTCCATGATTTTTTTCTTTGTGGCAGTATATAATCTGGAACCCACTTCTCCAAACCGGTAAGCGACCAACTAATTGTAGCAACGCTGTTGCAGTTCAAGTAACTTGTATGATATACGTCTCATTTGAAAAAGTCGTATAATTCATCCCTTACACAGTAAAGCGAAAGGGCAAGTTCATCTGCCTCAGCTAAAAAAATTTCTCCAACAATAATCAAATTCTAAGATTGGCTTAGATATACAACTTCCATTTATATTCACTTAATAAGACGGGCGTTGTTTTACCTCATTATAAGGGTAGTTTAAAATAATTACATGTGAAAATTGCACACAGTTGAGAAATTGAGTGTAACTGGCGTTACTAGATTTTTTTCCTTGGCCAACACTTAAAAACAGAGTAAACGTCGCGTTTTTTTTCGCACAGTTTCTTTTGTATTAAAATCACCTAATCGAAGGCAAATTGAAGGCAGGTGACGTTTTACAAAAATCATTGCGTTACTCAAACTATTTAGAAACCATATAAGCGTGGCCACATAAGGCGTCGCTATATGAACCACGTTGCCGACGGTGATTTCGTTTCGAAACTAAGTTGCATTAGAGCATAACTTAACTCAATAAGAATACGAATATGTGCATATATTTCAAAGTGAAGTGTGGCATTGCACTCGTTGTGCTACGTACCACATGTCGTTGCTTTTGGAGAACTTTGACGGTTTATTGGTACAATGCATTCGCAGGACGACACCCTGGGCCGGGGCATTACACTGCGGATAATAATGATCATAGGTCGTAATTTATTATGAATAATTATTTGTACCGAACCGCGATAGGTGCACAGGCCTCGGGTCAAATTAGCTTTGTAGAAGAGCGCGTACGTTCAAAATGCAACCCGTAAATGTGCCAGTACCTCAATTACTCAATAGCCAGCTGCGTAGTGTTTAGTAGAATTTCATGTGGGTCTATGGCAAATGGATTATAATTTATGAACCTACTAAACTTGACACTATTTTCTTATAAAACACCAACTTCATTGGCTAAAATCACATCTTTTTTTTAACAAAAAAAATCATTTTCTTTTTAGTTTTGTTAAGAGGCCGCTTCTTCACACAAAATTGCTAGTGGGCCACAGAGGCTCACCTCTGGCCCATCTAACTCCACCTTCCAACGATACAGGTATTTTCAGGGTTGCAAGTGATAGTTCCGAAAAAGTAAATCCAACGTAGTGAGCCTATTTTGGCATCAAAATGGAAAAGGTTTTCAGGGCACAATAGTGTTAAGACAGTTTTGGCCCATATAGCCCTATTCTCTCCAAATTTCTGCAGTGAGAATGCTACTGCAGTGAGAAAACTACGGTATTCTTAACAGAAACGAGCAAGTTTAAAATAAGTACATGCAAAAAGCAAAGAAAAAAAGACACTGAGATTATTGCAAATTTGTTGGTATGAGCTTTTTTTAGAGGAGACCTTGCTAATTTTTTAGTACACTTTCAGTCACACTTGTAGGCTATTAACTGGGTAATTTTCGTTGCTCGTTGTAAATGTTTTTTTTCTTTTTCACAATCAGATTACAAATTTTACTAGCGAATATTTTGTAAATGGCTCAGAGGATAGAAAGACACATTTTTCACCGTTTTTTACGATATTATGGGTAAGGTCTTTCGCAAGAGCAATAACGCTGCGCGGTATTGCTTTGCTCAAAAGGACCTACGGTTAGGATCTCGGCTCTTTCAATTCAGAAAAAGCTGTCAACAAAGTATTCTCATTCAATTCCATTTGCATATCTATTGTGCGATTGCAGGTTTTCGGTGATGATTCGATAGATCACTCATTGCAGTAAAGGTCGCTGGTTGTATCCGGAGCGAGCGTACCCCTACTGTACTGTGTCGGGCGACGCCTGTGTAGTGATGGACCAGCCAAGTTGGCATTATGCGTCCCCGCCCGACGAACAGGGCCGGCAAAAAATCGCGCCTCATCATCAAGGCGCCCAACATCGAGACGTCGTACCAGCTCCTCACGGACAGCGTATTTTCTCAGAAGGCGTTGTCGAGGGCGCTGAGGGCGGCCTCTCTACCCGAGAACGCATCCAGCTTCAAGGTCAGGACTTCGTTGACGAAAAAGAGTTTAAATTCCGGCAAACAATCATCGATCTTCAGAGTGAGTACATTATATCATTAGCGTATTTTCCTGTTTTCAGGGTCCTTTCTCTTAATAATGTATCACTTGTTCGGCATGTCCGCCTAAAGTGTCAAAGCTGGAAACTTTGACAGCATACTACTGCATCTTGAGACAATACCGGAAGGTCGAATATTACCTAATTCGCAAGAATTATGAGATGACTCGCATTTTATTTCATACACATGGGGCAAGTGTCGCCTTGGAGATATAAATCTTTATTTTAAGAAAGTTGTTAAATGCCTCGTATGATCTTCGAAAAGACCGAAATAAAAAGGTTCTCTTGAGCTTCTAATGATGCAAATAAGGGTATGATTCGATTTTTGAACGTCTTTGATTAAACCAAGATAATCAAGCAAACGTCGGTTAACGATGCGAAATTTAATGATATTGGGCGTAATCATTATATAGGAAAATAATACTAACATATTTTTAGTGTACACATATAATTCTCGTTTATTGACCACTATCGACACTCGATTCACAGAACGTTTTCGGGTGGATATTTCTAAAGGTAGATTTTTAGAACCTCAACTATAAGTCACGCTATGCAAGAAAGCGCTTCAGTGATTCATTGCAAGATAATAATCATTTATTATCGTCATATTAAATATGAAGATTTTTCAACTGCCTTAGCTTCAATCTGATCACGGACAAAAGAAAGCGCAAAAGGTAGCTAGCTATGCGATTATTCGAGATTATCATTGATTCTTTAGTCATTGTCTCGTTATCCGTGCGGGAAAAGTATGTAGAAAATGCCATTTGTTCGCTGGGCCATTGCATTATTATATATGATAAGCTAACAATTAATATTTACAACAATGGCCACGGCATGCGAAATACGGCGCGTGTACATCTCTTGATTTACCACTGTCATTATAGTATTATTTTGGACTCAGTCAGTAAAATCAGTGTTGTTCACTAGTCATATACACAAAAACTAACATAGCTTATAAGTTCACAGTACAATCTTCGTGCTCTGAACAGAGATCGACTAACGCACGGCTAAAATTACCAGTAATAATATCGTTTCTGATATTAATATTGTATCAAAAGTAAACAAGTTTATGATATATCTCTGAAGATATAATAATGGTAATGATAATGGTTATCTATACTAGCCATTATCCATGTACATGACATAATTATGTATCCATTGTGCTATTAGATCCTCTTGTTGCCTCTGGAGACCAAGAACGTTATCAGACAAAAATTGTGTTGTCCGTCTTTGCATGATTGAAGTTGTCACAATGAATTTAAACTCTAAGAAGGTCAGCTTAGAGTTCGGTGCTGTTAGTAGTAAAATCATCATTCTGTCGGATTCCTTCGGACGGTCCTAGTGTACCGAATGTGCGAAGCTTAAGCCGTCGGTACCCTTTTTGAAGAAACCCAAGGAAGAAACTGAACGTGCCCTTTTCACCCTTAGCCCAACGTTGACGCAGATGGGATAGCCACGCCTCACCCTCGAACGGACATTCCCGGATGTGGGTTTTCCATGTTTCAACGTCGCACTCGACCATGCAACCCAGCACGTGGAACGGGCAGCGTAACTTGACATTGTTATTAATCCTAATATTCGTCACGGTGACACAAGCGGATTAGGCGCAAAAGTAAGGTTAGCAACAATAGTTAGTGGTAAAAGAGAAGAACTCGCCGAACAAGGGAGACTATCTAGCAACAACAAAAAGGAAGGAAATCGAACGTGGCCTGCTGTCGATCTGGGTTCATCTCTCGGGCGTGATTAAAATCTAATAAAAACATAGAAACAAGACACCAATAGCTTTCCGCAGTCATATTAGCAGAAAAAAAAAACGGGCTTTAATAGTAAAGAGTTATCATTTCACATGGATAAACACGATATCTCAATTGCAAATTTTGCCATTTCGCTACGACTCTCTCAGAGCTAGCTTGCTGGGAACAGTCATTACTAAACTGTTACCAAACAAGTTTAGGTACGCAAGTCCTTTTACTTTCCTGATTTCTTCTTCATGAGAAAATGTATGATACAAGACAGACTTGTACTAGATGACACAGGCTAAAATTCCGTGCATTAGTCGTAGTCAGTTGGCAGTCAGAGCTTTCGAACTGAATAAAATCTAGTCAAAGGCTACCTGCTCATGGTACACTTGTATCCTGTACGTACCTTCGTGCTTCGAGGTGCCGGTAGAGGGCTTGCACGCGTCTCCGGCACAGCGGGCACGTCTTTAGGCGGTCACCACACTCTACACAGACAATGTGTTTCCGACAGTGTACAGAAACGTAACGCGGGCTCAATGGACATCTGTAGCAAACGACGCAGCGTTCGACGCTAGCTGAAGAGTCCACAAGAAGTTCGTCACCGAAACAAATAAATGTATCGTCAGCTTTCTGTTCGATGAGGTATTCTTCAACGACATCAACCATCTTTCCACGATCCAATTCTATCCAATATAGTTTAAAGAAAAAGAGTCTTGCCCACGGTAAGTTGAACAGGATTAGAGCAAAGCCATAGCAAAAGTTCCAGAGAGTGAAAGCTGGAAGCTGGAACAATGCGCAAGTTATGATTTCGAAAAACGACGAAAGCGACGCTGGATGTCGTGCATCTATCACAACCACAATGGACATGCAGGAGATAGCTCCCGGTCAGCAAACGCTTGGCTAAACGTGATCCACCAAAGAGCGAACGAGCTTGACCTATGTGACAAATGTGGGTTGAAAACGTGCACGATATATGCGCATATCGTACAAGGCTCAGTTACTCGCAATGAGGACAAGTTTTTCATATACTACAAGAATGGCTACACATTTTCATGTGATCAGTGCAAGTAGAGCTTTAGTGCAGACGTCATGTCGTTGGTTTGAAGTCGAATCGATATAGGATTTGTAACACATTAAAACAAGCTCTGAAGCATAACTAGACAGTAATTAACTTTAATATAAATCTACGTGTCTATGCCTGCGTTTGAAATAGGTTGAGCGCTATTCGGCGATTTGGTCAGTGCTACCGAATGTGTCCGCATGTTATAGACGGCTATAACGGCAAAAGGTAACAGGCATCTGAAAACGTGAAAGATGTAAAATAGTATATGTGGGGAGAAACTGCTTTGAAGCAATAGCTGCGGGTCCCTCCCATTCTCATGTTTGGCTCACCTAAATGACATGCTTAAGACTTGGTCTTATTTCCAGAAGGAATAACTGGCTTTGTAATCTAAATGGCGCTAATGTTTTTACGTAATACATGTATTTTTGGATTAAGGTTGATAAAGTGACTCCTGAAACGAACGCTGTTTAAAAGCCTTTTAACTAAGCTAGATCATGTACTAATCTGGCGGAATTGCCAATCGCGACTCGAAGTGAGCTCAACTCGAAAAAAATGTAGAAACCAGCCCGGGAATGCAATATACTACAGCCTTGCCCCATAGAGTACACGCTCTGATTCCATGTTTATATTCATTTTTTTAACTGATTAAAATTGCTGTACAAAAAACATTATAATAGAAGTGCTCAGACTTAAAATACTCCAACGGACTATGATAAAAATAGGGGTTGTAGCATGTATAGGATTATAAATTATTTCTTCAAGTAAGTCCTTAACGAACAAAATAAGCAGCTGCTTTAGTAAAACTGTTTTTTAATTCATGCGAAAAAAAAACACGTGCGCTGACAGATAATTTATCACGTAGTAGCTATAAGGTGAGACACTATATATATATATTTTGTATGCCCTAGTTAACGACTTCATTAATATACAACGCATGTCTTACGCGATACGTTGATGTAAATTCTTGTTTTCCAAATGATGGTTGATTTTTTCCCCCTAACCTCCACGGGTCTTGTCATACTGAAACCTATGAAAGTTAGTGCAGGTAAACCCAAAAGCATAAGTTTCAATAAGGGCCACTCCGCCCAGCAATAGCCAGTGGACATGTGAATAAATGACTAGCGGACATGAAAACGTAGACCTCCCTTTCTAACGCTGCGATAGATGGTAATTTCCAAAACGTGACATAAAAGAAGATATATATCGTCGTATTAGCCAGAAATCGTCTCGGATTTAGCCGATCCTTCTATGATTTAACTGTGCAAAGTGTCTGAGTTATCTGTAAGTGAGAAATCGCAGCGAACATGGATAATATCGATAAAATAAGTTGATTTAAAGACCTTTAATTAATGCATATGACGTATATGCGGTACTGATAATATTTTCTATCGCTGGAAATATGCTCCAAGCCTAGCTTTAATTGGACCTTCTGTTGTTACAGTGTACAACGAGAACATTTGCAATCTATTTACTTATGTACCGTTTTTACGTTATGGCTTACTGGCCGTGTATCAGACGCGTCGCCCCATCAAAACTTATTGACCACCTGTAATCCTCAATTTTATCATATAGATTGCAAGTGTATGCATAACTATTCTTGTCACAAATTTACTTGCAACTAAATCTACAGAAGTATTGTTCTGTTTACTTAAATGTATAAAAATTTGTCATTGTCACTTCGTTGATATGATAGACTTGTAAAATTTTTGGGTAAACTGGCCTAATTGCAGGGGATGCTTCTCCAAACTGACAGAGCTCCCTCTGTAGTACGTCACTGAATTTAACAACAATCAAAGTCGTGAGTTTAGGCTATTTGAAGTATCTTTCTGATGTACATGAATTCAAATTAATAAAAGCTACTGTACAGCGACGGTAAACCAGACGCTTTAACGACTCGCGCTTTGTTCGTCATGAGAAGCGTACGACGAATTCGGACCTACTGAGCAGGTTAGAGGATCATTGATGTGAGTCTAAAGCAGAGAAGTAGGACACAATATTTCTATGCAGCTAACGTTTGCTGCCCTATGGATCTACGATCTATCCTAGTCGGACCTACCAATTAATAGGTAAAAACACGTACCGTCACTTAAACAAGCCAGTACAGCTAAACAATCACCAACAATCGTCGAATGTTGGTCGCCACGTAGAAATTGCGTTTTTTGCGATTGAAAAAGGGATTTATCTGACTCAAATTAGGATCCGAATTGTTTTTGACAATATTCAAGTTTGTTAGCAGGTAATGGTACTATTGATGGCAGTCATATTAGCCTGAAGGGTCTTCGGAAACAGCTAATTCCATACAACGATCCGTGTACCATCAGCCATTCGTGGACGCCATCCGTCTGCGTATGTTCTCCTGTTGGCAGCTCAATCGTGAAGGGCGCGTATATTATGCCACAGACAAAATATGGCGAGCTTCATAGACTCCTCGTTTAGGATGAGTCCCTTATACTGGTACCGGGTACACTCAACTAAACTGTGTTGTGGTTTCTGCTGCCTCGTGGCTACCGACCCTCACTCTCAGTTGGCTTTCCCAACCCCGTACTTCAATCGCTCCAATCCGTTCTACCAGCCTTCACAAAAGACCTCCGCATACTACCTATCAATTGAAATAATCAGTCGATGTTCTCGAACATCCCATAACTCTAGCAATTAGCATACTTTGTATCTTTCGATATTTGTAACTCACATCGCTTACATTCACTCTGTATCTGCTGTTCCGTTGATTATGGAACGTTGGTCCATCTACCCTCGAGACTCTTTCTACTATTCGTCGACATCATGAGCCGCTCTTTGCACTTCTCCGAGCGAGTGCTTTATGCCACAGTTTTCAACGGCGCTATGTGTCGGCGGACGCTAACTACCAGCGTCAGTTGTGTTCGAACGACAGCAACAACAATGCAAATCTCAATCCGTCTAACTAATGGACAAACATAAGACAGCAGAGAAATATCGAACGTCGCCAGTATAGAGGTAGAAATTAACTTGTCCACTCGGCTTGTCTGCCTCCCTGTTTCAACCCTCGCTTCGGGCGTCTGTACATCAAAACAAGGCGCAGGCAGACCCGCGACTGCTGGCGCGAACAACGATCGGAGCAGCTGGCGGATCCTTCACCGCGCGAGCCCTCAATCCAACACAGTGCGAGAAGGCTGTCACCCTCTCCCATAATGTGAAAGCGCCACTGTGGCGGCGGCAGCGTGGAGTTGGTCCGTGAGCGCCGATACAGCCAATGTTGTCCCTATGGATACAAACAGCAAACAGAATGAAGTGCACAACGAACAGCATAGGACACACGACAGAACCAAACTAGAAATACGAACGTGAACGAGCGCTGACGGTCCGTCGAACAACCGCACGCTGCCGCTGGCAATTACGACTGCTACGGCCATTGATATAATACGACGCGAGATTTGTCGTTGTACCATGCCGTGTTCTTTTTGTACGTGTCGTATAGCGCTGCTGTCGCCCGTGGCTGTGTGTTGTTCAATGCTGATTCTTAAATTGAAGAGTTGATTCAATGCCTCCGTGTTGTATCCGGCTATTGGCCATGATGCTAACGTCGACTCACCAGTAAGAAGACAGCGGTTCGGAAATTGCGTCCACAGGATGTAGTGAGAATTTGGACGTTGAGTTGATTAACATCTGATAAATGTAAGCTGTCAACATTACAGCGTATAGAAAAAGAGGGAAAAGAAAAGCATCCATTGGAACTCTATATGGTTCATATGGAAGTTACTGTTGGTGGCTAATGTTGATTAGACAAGTTGAATTGAAGATTCGAGGCTGTACTCATCAACCAAAGACGGTACCCGGCGGCGCCCTGATGACAAGCCAGTTTCACAGCATTCAATCCTGTCTCCATTCGGTTACAAGCGGTCAGTTCATTGCAGATACGGATGACAGTCGTAAATAGTCACGAAAAACAACCATTTCCGCAAGAGGGCCTTTGATCTGAGTGGATTTTTATTGCGTTTATTGACTATTGTCATCAGTACCTTTTACTAGGGCCGTATCGATTTTCTGACCGCCACAGATAAAGTTGCATTTGTACCTCGTTTCGACACCGTTGAGCATGAAAAAGTTTACTCTCATATCAGATACTAGAAATAAGTAATTTCCGCTTATCAAATTCGAAAGCAAAAGTGAAACTAGATGTCAAGGTCATCATATCCACAACGGGGGGTAGTTACGACGAAAACAAGTTTCTAACTACAAAAGGAGACTATCAGTTACTATCTATTGAGTTCTGGATTATGCTCCGACACTATTTTCGTTTAGCTAATATTGACTGTTTTAATTAGGTGACAAAGCATACGCAGATTCCCTATTTTTGTCGTTTCGATGACTAGATATGATGGTCTTGTCGTAACGAGTTCCTTGGATGTTAGTTTCTGAGTCATGGCAGTCAACAATCACATCAAATTCCAAAATTCTGCAGTTGTTTTGTTACTGCTGTACACTGAAAGTGGAGTTTAGCAATACAAAAGTTGTGCGTAAATAGAAAAGTCACTGTTTATCGTTATCTCTGTTATAGAAGATCGAATGGGTCGATATTCAACATAAAAAAATTCTATCAAAAAAAACTAGTGTGATATCATGTGGGGCATTTGGCCGAATGCAACTGTGGAATTTGCAATCCAGTCCGTGCCATGTGGTAATCCATCTGATTGTTTGCGAAGCTAAAAAAAAATCGAAAAAAATTGGTAAGTTGTCACATGACGATAACTTCGTGTCAACGATCATTACTTGTTACAGCAGGAAAGTTGAAACTGACCGAAAAATTCATCCATTTTACCACTCACCATTGCTAAGAAGCACGGTGACCGCTGCGAGCAGTGCTGCCATTTGACGAGGAGCAATTTTTTTCGAAGAGATTTGTCTAAGGCGGATGCAACTGTGAAAGGAACATCCAAATACACAAATAAAGTGTGACTATGTGCTGCGATGGCCTCGCCTGGACCGCGAAGAGTGTGCACCCCTTTGTCCTTCGTAGGTATAGCTGGGGCAACCGACCCCAATGACGATGATGGCCTTGGTCCTAGTGTTGAGAATGGAATTCACGTGTTCACCGCTCATGAATACGATCGGCAAATCTCAAGGAATCGAGGTGAGCTACTAATAAGAAAACCATCTATGTTGACTGATACGTTGACTTTAGCCGAACAACAGTTGTCTATTTGTCTACAGATTATATAGGAACAACAAAGATGATAATTAACAATAACAATACTAACAACTATATGATATAATCAAAAATAAAAAAAAATCATAGGATATTGCGTCTCAACAAATTTATCTTGAATATTTCACATAACTAGAGAAGTCTGACTCCTAAAGCAACAACGTCTATAGGCTATTTTAACCAAGAAGATCATTTCCGTTTGCTGCAGAAGTATCACATAGAAGGTCCGGGATCGTTTTACAGCGACTCCGAAACAACTAATAGAACAATTCGAATAAAGCAGATGGGTACCGCAATTTGAAGTCACTACTGGGCCGTAGCTTGATATTGGACAAAGTTAAAACACAGTAGCGGATCATCGACGCATTGTCTGATGCACCTGTGCTAACATTGGGTTTCTGCGTTTCGCGCACGCGCGTCATGTAGCCTTGACGGGCACTGGGCAGCAACAGCATGAACAACCCAAGAGGCCATATCTAATCTGATGACAATAGCGTACCCACAATTGCCTCTAAGGCAGTCAAGAAGATGACGAGGCTAACCAACTTACCGGCGTCTGCCCCGTTTTCATCTGTTCAGTTGAGCTATGACAAACGAAAACTTACGAATCTTTGCTTTATGAGACCAACCTGTCGGCCAGTGGTGACAATTTGAGGCGCGGGAGGGCAAATTGATAGAATCTTTCACGGAACAACTTAATTAGCTGAAACTGATGGAGTAAAGCTTCCTGTTCGATGGTGGGCGCAGCATGCAAGAAGCGAAGCAGCAACATAAGCTGTATGCGCACTGGGTATCGTGACTACATATCGCAAAAAAATCTGACTAAGGATATGATATCAGGGCCAAAACTAGTGGCAAGTATTTTATCTTATGATAATGATACACCGGAGTAGGTAATTCTCAACGTAAATTCCGAATTTTTCTGCAAACTACATGTGCTGCACAAAACGGATCTTATTCGTCATAAATATAATAACAGGTGTCGAACGAAAAGTGATCACGAGAACGTCTAGAGTCGTTACGCCATCACTTACAATGTAGAAATACGTACGGTTTATTTTTCGTAATCGAGAAGAAATAGTGGTGGACAATTATGTGGTTCGATGAAAATGACCTAGGATATTTCTAAGACGCAAACCTCTGGAAACGTTCATTTTACTTGCTGACTGACGATTATATCTATCAATTGGTGAAGATTAGGGATAGTAAATGATTAGAGGGATTTCCGACAAAAAACTAGCCCTGAACTCACTCAATTACGTGGAGTGACTTACGTATGCTGTTGAATGAAACAACTACGATATATAAAACTTTAATAGAAATTATTGTCCCTGAAGGAAACAACAAGAGCAAAGATCAAGAAGAATGAACTTAGAAAAAAAACTTTCAACATCTAATACACTACTATGTAATTAATTGCTTGTGCTTATTTTAGTCAAAACTACTTTCGAAATTTTGGTGTCGAAACAAAAAAATGCAAAATTTTATTCACAATCTTAGGAGCAGATCGCTATTTCTACAAAACTGATTTCAGTTTCAACGAGACAAGTAACTATCATATATACAGATGTATCGATAAGACCACGTAATATAATGAAGATATATTACTCTATGACTGGTTGACCGCCATTAGCTTGGCGCCCATTCGTAATAATCGATAAAAAAAATTGAGACCAAACAAAGAAGGAGCGGTTGTATGATACTTCAAAGAAATTCTCTTCGATAGGCCCTAGCTATCCATATATGTATCACCCATATGGCCATGGCGCGGCTAACTGGACCTTACAAGCTTAGGCTATGCGCGTGAATTTACCGTTCATAATACGCGTTTATGCTTGGGTTGAGTAGAAATTAGGTTATTCAGCAGCGACATAATAATAATAATAAAAATAGTAATCATTATTAATACAGTATATCCTTTACCTAAAACGCACGTAATCCTCAGTATTGAGATCAGCAAGGCGACATATTCATCAAGCGACTTCATAGTTAGTATCTCTAGATACAAACAACGTGCTGTGTTCAATCGATCCGATAAAAAAAATCTCTGCCATTTAATCGTTGGTAGCTATACAGAAGTGCTAATCGATAATAGTTTAACTAAAAGTATAGAAATACCCACTACTTTTCAATAGTTTGCATACGCTTGGATCAAGAAATTAATTGTAAAGCGTCCACAAATTCAGC